TAATTATTTATTTCAATTGTTTATTTAATATTTAATTACATATTTAAACTAGTTTTTGTTATTTATATTTATTTGTTATTTACGTTAATTAATTATTTTTATTGCTTAATTAACATTTAAGTTACTTGTTTATTGAATTTATTTCAATTAGTTATTTATCATTTACTTAAATAAACAATATTTATAAATAATTAACATAATTCATGAAATATTTAAATAAACAAATAAAGTATAAAATAAATAATTATATATTAAACAAATAATATACAAAAAAAATTAAAGTGATTGCTTAAAATATTTAAATAAACAATTAAATTATATATTGATTTATTAAATTATTTATTTAATATTTAATTTAATTTTTTATTTAAGTATTTCATTAATTATTTATATTGTTTGTTTAATATTTAATTACTTATTTTAATTGTTTATTTCATATTTATTTACTTCATTTAATTATTTATATTAATTTCTTATTTATTTTAATTGTTTATTGAATATTCAATTGTTTATTATATTTATTTCATTATTTAAATTATTTATATTTTAAATAAAATAAAATAAAATAAATTATTTTACTTAAATAAAAAATTTACATACTTCATGAAATATTTATAAATAATTAAACTTGATATTAGAAAAAATAAAAAATAAAATGGTTGGCACGCTTGGCCTATCCAGAGACATCCAGACGGTGACGTCATTGCTGCTTAGGCCGTCTGAAAACTCCATTTCCGACGAGTTGCATCCTATTTTTCACTTTTCTTAACCAATTCAATCTCAAATTCGACTTTTCCTTTTATTTTAACTATAAATATTTGTATTAAACTCATAATTTAACATATTCAAATCTTAAACATTCAAATTTTTATGTCTTAAACTCAAACATTCAAATTCTCACATGTGTTAGACCTCAATGGTGAGTAAATTACAAAGAAACAAATCTAATCTTTGAGAAATGCCGATCTCGAGCAATGGTCGAAGTGCATCCGATCTGAGCGGTCCGTAGGTGATGAGATTTTTTTTCTGTTCTCTTAGTTTTCTCTTTCTTTTCTCTTCTCTTCTCTTTATTTGGAGGTATTTTTTACCATTTGGGTATTGTTTATATTTTCAGTTATTATTATTATTTTTTTTTAAATGATATTTTTTTGGTCAAAGGCCATTGTGGAAAGATCAACTGGCCATCTTCCACTATTTCCTCATTAAATTGGTAGGCTCTTTTACAATACTTTGTCTATGTATAAATGTCTATCTTTGTTTCAAAATTGTTTTGTTCTAGCAACAGTTGCTTTTTATGACACCAACTCCTTTTAAAAAAATCTACCTTCTGGGTTTTGATACGTTGGGATCACCTAATAGATTTAGTTCCAATATTCTACTCGAGAAATGCTATACATACAGGCCTGTTAACAGGGTTAAAAATAGGGGGCTTTAATTTCATAAATTTAAATAAGGGCTGAGGTGGGTTTTGATTCGTTGGGATCAACTAACAGATTTAGTTCCAATATTCTACTCGAGAAATGCTATACATATAGGCCCGTTTATAGGGTTAAAAACGGGGGGCTTTAATTTCATAAATTCAAATAAGGATTGAGGTGAAGTCATCTCAACCCCCTGTATTTAGCCCTGTCAAAATGCCTGTGTGAGTAGCATTAATGTTACCCCTTTGAGTTCAAATTTTGAGAATAGGACCTGAACCTAAGTTAGCGATTAAGATCAAACTCATCCATAATTTGAGATATTCATTATCTCATAATGTTGTCTGGCATTTGGTAACAGATATCTTGGGGCCCGAGACAAGTCTGTTGGGCAATTCATTTACATTCAGCTCCTGGGAAAGCTATATTTGTATTTGTGAATAATACCTTGCCTAACATGTAAAATTCCCAACATATTTCTTAATGATTATTAATTTTATTAGTGGTACTTTTTTACAGCAAGCTTGATGGAGACTGTGTACGATACATATAAGGACGAAGATTGGTTCCTTCACATGCGTTACAGCAACGAGAAAACCTTTGGTGTTCCTATATGCAGCGCTGCAGCATTTCTCGTAATTTAATCTATATATTGGGTCTCATAAAATCATGCGTCTTGTTTGTAGCAAATTGTCTATATAGTCAGCCTCTCTGTAAATTCTCCTGAATCATGTGAAGTATCCAGGAAACCTAAAATGGCCTTCAATTGTTGCAACTTGCGAAAGCCGCATCCTATCGAGCGATCACTTTTTGATCTTCAACGACTGAAGTATGTATGTATGTATGTATGTATGTATTATTATTATTATTATTATTATTATTATTATTTATTTATTTTTATTTTTTTTTGGTAGTAACAATAATAGTAGGATGGCTGCGAATGTGAGTCAGTGTTGCTAGCTGTACTCTGAAAAACAAGGTTTTCCGGAGGGGTCGAACCATTTTAAATCCCTATAATCAATCTGGGTTTTTGTTTGGCTGTCTGAAAAAATGTGAGCATGTCAAGAAATGCTTTTGAGTCACAGACAATGATAACTACGCTATTCAATTTTGGTTGCATACTTGTAACCCTTTTGAGTTTTTACTTTATTTTGTCCCTCATTTTAAAAAAGGAAAAAAAGAAAGAGACGGAATTTAGAGGTGGCAAAAGGACCGAATAGTTCGTCAACTCGTCAAGCTCGTAAGCAAGTTCACGAGCCCACGAGCTCGGCTCGTAGGCTCAAAAAAAAAAAAAAAAAAACCCCAGG